GCGTGGTGCTGACAACACCAAGCCAAGGGGTGAGATCCCCTTACTGGTCATCTTTAAAAAAAAAAAACAAAGTGGCACTCTAACCAACTGAGCTAACCAGCCAGCCCATAAACTTCTGAAGTTATTGTCGAATGACATTAAGTTAATAGCTGTATTTGTGTGTGTTAAAAGCATTACTTTGTTAAATATAGTTAAATTATACACAATTTCCATTTTTTAGATATACCTGTGATCTCAAAATCAAAATGATCCAGTATTCTAGATCTCCTGAGAGGCCTGGGCAGGATATTAGCATCCTTCCTTTTCTGTATCCCCAGGCTAGTACATGAGGGGGCTTACAGGTAGTACTAGCCCTAAACATTCTTTCCTCCTCTCCCCTCCCCTTTCTTATTTTGTACCATTTTTAAACACTATCCAACAGATTCTGACCTAGAGCATTTTTCCCATGTTTATGTCCAGAACTAGCCATTTTCCAAGGAAGAGTTACTATACATACCTATAGACTAGAGGCCAGAAATCTTTTTTTCCCCCCTGGTCAGGTTGAGAGTCCTGTAATCCCCTCCTCTCACAATCTGATCTTCCACTTCTCTCCTCCCACTCTCAGAAAGGATTCCTGAGCTGGCCAGTTAGCTCAGTTGGTTGGAGTGTGATGCTAACACCAAGGTTCAGGGTTTCATCCCTGTACCAGCCAGCTGCCAAAACAAACAAAAAAGGATTCCATTTCCTGAGTTCACACATTGGCCCTCATGTTGCCTCAGGTTGCTATGTATCTTTTTATGTGTACTTCCCGGTTCTTCTGCTTGAAGCCCGTAGTGTCTGTGTTAATTTGTATATCTCTATATTACCATGTATCAACAAAGCACCATGTTCATAGAAGAAACAAAAAATTTATTATAACATCACACCACCCAATGGATAGCTGAGTTAACTGACTTTCCAGAAGAGAATGAGGTAGCCTTTTATTTTTTATGTCAAAACTGCTATTGATTACCAGGGAGATGCAAACCAATGAAGGGCCATCCC